CATAAACTTACCAGATCTTTGAGTTGTCCAGCTCGTTTGAAGTGTTCAATCATTTGAAAAACACGGCTTGTATAAACGGTGAGAGATTGTTCCTAAGAAGGAAAATGGGAGCTGTTCAGTTTGGGGTTGTTTTCAAATTTTGCACCACGATTTTGGACTCTAAGAAAGACTTTCCTCTACGTACCTCTTGAAGACACTTTTTGTAACCTTCTTCCAAGTTGGCTTTTAGATCGTCAATACTTTTAATACCTAAATGAAAATAATCCGAAATGAATTGCAGGATTTAAACAATTCCATTCGTCCTGTGTGAGACATTTACCTGACAGATCTGGGAGATCTTCGTCCATTTTCTCCGAGTCAAAATTCGATGTCACTTCAGTTGGATCATCAGTCTTCATTGTACTCTCTAGTTTGTTATTCTGAGATGAAGTTTCGTTTATTTGCGCAGCCTTGATCCTCTGTGAGGCTGTCTCTTGACACAATCGTCCCCTCGTCATCGCCTGAAGTTCTACATGCTTCTCGCTGTTTAATTCGGATTTCTTCCTGGAGTAATAATCTTTGAGTTTTTTGCGCAAACCTATACCTTGACCTCGTTCTTTCAAATTCCTCTTTTGGAAGCCACTGTTTTGACATGAAATTACATAACTATGAATTAGAATAACTCTCGCGTTGACGAACTCATTTTTTACAATAAATAAACATAATTACGCTTACCAAATATACGAATCGATTACGCTCGTTTTCCCGCCTTTTTCTTCAGCCAGCATACAACCACCATTATCTTTACCAAAATCATCATCAACCTTTTCACCTTCTTGTAGTTCAAATGGCAACATCTTATCTGATGTGACGTCACATGTGCCAGTATATACCCACAACGTGACCTATGACGTAACATGGCTTTCTCAACCAATAGCAGCTTGTCCTTCTCGATTGTACTCAGTATTGCACAGAGTGTGGTGACTGGTTGAAGTATTCCAGTGACAAGCGTACCCAATGTTGGTTCAAGATACTCCAAAACCTTGGAAGAAAGTTTGTTAAAGCTTTTTGCTAGTGTAATAATGGTGAAGATATTTTATCCCCAAATGAGGTCAACTCCCAAGTATAGAAATTTGATTACTCTGAGCAACTTTCCTCTGTGCAAAACTGAATGAAAATTTAAGTAAAAACTTGTATCTGGAAGAATTTTAGAGGCTGAATTGAAATGCAGGTGTATTATGACTTACCATGCAGAGAGATTTATGACTAGTCAGAGCTAACATCTGGTGAAACAAAGGAGCCTTGAAGCTATCATTTTCGTTCTTATTCCAGTTTTCTCCACTGAAACAGGAGTATAACATTGTTGGATTCATCCAAGATGCTGAGACATCTGAACTGGCAAGAACACCCTTGATAACAAAGCAATTCTCTACACATTGAACTTCTGTGTTTGTTTCATTGTTTGTCTTAGTTGTGAATACAACATTAAGTGCTTTTTCAGAATCTGGGGCCACTCTTGAATTCTGATCAGAGACAGTTTTCTCGCACATTTCATTTGTGATGTGTTTGTGATGAGATGTTAACTTGTTCTGAAGTATGTAGGAGAGAATGACAGAACAAACTCTCCTTTCTGAAAAAAAATAGTTATACATTTGATTCACGATGTAGAAATGTGTTGTTCTTTTTGTTTTTGGCTAAGTCAAGGACTCTTGTCACAAGAAACAACCACTTATTGATCCCTTGTTATTGTTTGCTTTCCTTAGTTTGGGAGTATAATTATGGCCCTTAGAACCTTTTAATTCTAACAAAAACTTACCACGAAAATAACAAATTCCACTCAATAATCCATTAGTCCCATTTGCTAATGACCTGACATCATTAACGACCCTCTTACAAATAAAGTCTTTTCCACCGAGAAAAGCCTGAACAATTTTCCCAAACGAGCATTTAAAAACAGCTGCCATGACCTGAACTTCAGCCAGTGTTTTAACTCTGTTTTCAAAGCCTTTTGGAGTTGATGTACCATTCTCCAAAGCAAGATTGCAAATATTTTCCCCATTTTGTAGCATTGAGATGGGAATTATGTTTCCGTTAAGCTGTTTTGTTACAGATGACATCAACGAGTGCCCTCTCCAATCCTTTAAGAACGAAAGTGATGATAAATTGATCATGCGACAAATGAGCAAGTCATTGTATGAAACATTAAATTCATTCAAACCTCAATTTGTTGCTTTAATTTCTCAGGAGCCAGACACCATAGACCTGAATCAATCCAAAACAATGATAAACCACATTTGTTGTAGAATTCCTCATACAACGCAGCAGAAAATATTTCATTGAACACAGTCTGTGCATCATAGGAGTTGTCATCTCTGCTCAAAAACTGACCCAAATCTGTGTCTGATAAAGGGCAATCCGCTATGACAAATAAATAATTCCTTGACTTTTGATTATGGCCAAAAATGGGTTCATTCTTAGCAGTCCTCGATGGCGAACTGATGTCTGGAGTAACCCACGGAAAATCTTGCAAAATCTCCTTCACACAACAAGATAGACTTGTAACACCAGCCGTCGAGCTTTGACCATCACGAGCACTTTTAAACCGAGTTCTCAGCTCTGCCTCAAATTGCTCAAAGGATTCACTGCTTAATTCGTGAAACCGACTTCGTTTGTACTCAAAATTGAGTACACTAGAGTTATAGAATTTAAAACCCCATTTCAAAGGAGTACTGTTTCCACTCTTTAAAACGGAGTCAAAATGCAGTAACAAACGTAAGACACAGCGCGATATACCCCGCAATTTAATACTGTGAACATCCTCCAAGTGTTCGTTGCAAATATTATGTTCTTTAACGCATACATCAACAAGAAAAACAATTTGAAAATTCCCTCCTTGTTCAAACTTTGCCGCCATCTTGGAAAAATTGTTTCCTCATTCTCTCCCCCCCGGATGTCCACTTTTATTTTTCATCTCCTGGTTTTTCCATCTTTTTTCTCCTTTTTTTTTGTTCATTTTCAGTTCACCTGTTCTACTTTCCTGCTAGTTAACCCTCTTCTTCAACGTCCATCCCATTTTGCACAAGATCTCTGGTGGTTCAATCATCCAGTCTATCGTTCAGCATGGCCTCACAACCTCCTAAAATATATCCTTGTTTGATGATAAAAATATTAAACAGTATCTTTTAAATTCATGATAATAAAAATATTAAACAGTATCTTTTAGATTCATGGCAGATATCTAAATTCCCACGTGAGTGACATAAAATGCGAACGTTGGGCGAAAGAAATTAATGAACACTCCAATATTTGACAATGAAAGATTTAAAACACCTGCCTTGGATAGATAATGATGCATAAAACCCCATTAGCATTTAGTATGTACAGCTTGCTCTCGCGTGAATACACAGTTCAAAACCTTGTGGTTTTAACAAGAACAGTCGACTCTGAGGTAATAAAACATTTAAAAGCGAAGGAAATAACAGGGACATAAAATAGCACGTTGCACAGGGCAAAGGTCAGCTGAAAAAACGACAGAAAATGGACGAAAAGGTCGATCATAACGATGATAAAAGTCAACTGCTTGACACTCAAGCATGTACAACAAACACGGAGCTTTTGGGCTCGGAATATTACGCGATGATAGAAATATGCCCTGACAAAGAAGCAGTAAAGGGCAGGTGCGAAAAACATGGCCAGGAAATGGCTGAAACCGAAGGAGAGAAGCATGTCTTGGTTACAAGTACCGTTCGCAAAAATTGAGCCGGATGTTGAGCACGGTTTAGTGCCATTCAAAATGAGAGGCAGAGGAAGCAGATGGCTGAGTAATATGCAATGTATCATGGTTCTCTTATGTTTCTTCATCGTGTTTGTCGTTTGTGTTGCGCCTATCTTCTTCACTTTGAGACACGCTGTGGCCGGAGACAGCGAAAAACACGAACAGTTTTCTATCGTCAACTGAACATTCAATATTATTACACTAGGGGGGAATTATCTTTTGCACGTATTATCGACTTTGTAGATGACGGAGAAATTATTACGGTCATATAACCAAACAGCGCTAATAAATATATCATTAATAGCTGCACTCATGATATTTAGAATCTAAAATCAAAAATCTGTACTTTTCTTCCCCTTTTCATCGACAAAAACACAATAGAAATGCAAAGTAGTTCATGTTACATTTACATACGAAGAGGAAAGTGCCTTTCGTCAACAAATTCATTAAATATAATTGTTTCTAATGTAAACTCGATGCGAGAGCAGTATTTTAAATACGTGTATGTTTGAATTGAATAGTGAAGTCGTAGAAGGTTTATTAGAGAATCCTAAAAGATTTTGCATGTAAAAATTGTATGTAAAAACCATTCACTGGTAAAAACTCGAGTTGGATTGTTGAGATGCTTGGATTAACTGAGCGTTAGAGATAATAAGGAATAGTTTGATCATAAAACTTGCGAATTTGTAACAGCAAGAAAAATAAGGATGAACTGTTGTATAAAAGTATTAAAAAATTATACTACACCGAAATGACTCGCTCTTTTGTTCTGTTTTAAAGCTATTGCGCGTTTTCCAATAAAAAAATAATGATAAAAATATGTCAATGCCATTTGTAACACGTGTTGTGATGTCAAAGATGATGTAGAGATTACAAGATATGGGCTTTGAAGAGATTAAATAAGAGTTTTCAAGTGAAATCGTGAAAGACACATCCTAATTTATTTGGATGCGTCAAGACCCAAACGTGGTGGGCTAGTATACTAAAAATAGTTGTGTTTAGACTTTTAAGATGTCTCTGACGTGTTGAAAAAGAGATATTCTCTCTCCCTTTCCAAAGAAACTTATTTGCAGACGTTTCTTGGTCAATTTTTTAACAATGATATATATATATATATATATATATATATATATATATATATATATATATATATATATATATATATATATATATATATATATGGATTACGGTTCAAACAAATAATGCTTTAGCAAACATGAAACATGAAAAAGCAAATATGATTTATAGAGTTATTGTTATTATGTTCAATAAAGACAACAATTACAATATTCAGCACATTAATGAAAATGATTAAAGATAACACTGAAGTGTCACATACAAATGTATGCATATGCTTCAAAATATAATTTAAATATTATGTGCACTGTTTTTGTCTTATCTGTGTCCTATCTCGCATATTGCTTCCCACATTTACGGCTTCATTCACACTTTTGTTGAAAAAAGCGTGAATATCACTGATGACTCTTCACCTAACAGGTGAATTTACAGTGATTTAATATTAAACAAAGCTGGCTGAAAAAATCGCTTACCGATATTACACCAGTAACACTGCATTTATACAACCATCATTCTCAGGATTGTTCGTAACTTGTGCATATTTTCCTAAAATATAAACTTGCCAGTCAGATCAGGTTATAAGTTAATTCAGATACAAAAAGCAATGGTGGGAAAGAAATTTCATGATTCTTTTTTCACAATTTTTAAACAAGTCTTACCCCAAACAACTTTTCCACCTTGAGTTACAAGCCCAAGTTCACTAACATTCACCTGGAATACAATGAAATTCATTAGAAAAATAACTAAACATGTATGCATTATAAACTTATTAGCAAAGAACAGTGTAATATATAATACCTCAATAACTGTCCCCTTTGTGATAACACCCAGGGATGTGTACATAGGAGATTGTGGATTCTTCTTTATGCCAATAATTGGAAGACAAAACGTTGCTTTTAGCTGTGGGATGGAAAATATTCATTATTCGAATGCATGAAGAAATTTTACAAAATGAGTACTGTAAGAACAGATATATGCTCATGAGTTATGAGTACAGTGCAGTTAGTCATGGTTTAAATATTTGAAAACAATGTTAAATAGCTTAGGAACTACTAACAAGGGTTATTCAAACTGTACCTCTGGATGGGTGACATGAGCTTTCTTGAATCGTAAACCCTGTGATAGGAAAGAGTCTAGTTAGGGCAATTTTCTGTACGTCAGAAACAATTTGAGCGGTTTCATTTCTTGTACATGTGAGCAAGACACTACTCTTCTCAAATTAAGACACGGTGCAGTAATTAGTTGATTAGGAATTCATCATCATTGCACAATAAAGAAAAAACAAAACCATATAGGGTTGTCACAGAGATAACAGCGTAATATGACTTGTTAAATAAGTTCCCAAATAAAAAATGTGATGCTGCTATATGCTATCCACCGCATCCTCACCATTGGTCTGATAAATCTTTCATATTTTGGTGGTTTTCTTGTAAAGCCTTCACCAACGTAACAAGCTTTTGTGACCATCCTTTTCCAACCTTTTCCTAAATGAGTGATGAAATATTTAATATCCAAATATCTCAATGTACTTCAACTTTATGAATAATTAACATAAAAAAACATTAGCAAATAAAATATTACTTCTTGACTTTCCAGTTTTGACAACTTTGAAGACTTCGTTCTCTCCAACTGCCTTCACTTTTGGCAGTGGTACTTCCCATTTACCCTAAGGAAAATTAGACTGTTAGTTTACAGCAAGACAATGCAAATTTGTTGGACTAGTTTTAACATAAGAAGACAGTGCAAATATCAATAGCTATGGGCCTTGACAAGTGCCAAAGCAAATTACTGCTAGTGCTGTACGTTCCAACCATGCAGTTATTTCGAAGAGACTATGTACTAGCTCCTTCTGAGAAACAGGACACAGGACCATTTGATAGTCTATTAAAAAGACACCATTCAATTGAACTCACAGCCTTTTCTTTTCTTTTCTGCTTAATCATATTACTCAAGACTTTAGCTCGTGATTGCCCCTCTCGATCTAAAAGATAAGCTGGTACAGCTCCATCTGGAACTTTATCCTCATTTCTTGTCTTTGTTTTCTTTTCTTGGTGCATTTTAATTCTAATGGAGAAGATCAGAATTTAAGAGATGCAGCTTTTGAGCAGATCAACACCTCATAATTGTTAGTTTTACTAAATCAAGCAAACTTTGTGTGACATCAGACTTTCAGTGTTTCACATTTTTTAATAAAAAAGAACTATTGTGAGTCATATATTAATGATACTTACGTCTTTTTCATTTGCACCTTTTCTGCATGTCGTTTCTTGTTGTAAAGTTTGGCTCTGAACAAAAATATCAAGTTCCATTAGTGATATGTACTCCTTGGTTGAAACAAAAGTGGAAATTCTCCAACTAGTGCAAATTCCTACCTAAGTCCATGGAGTTTTCTTGCATGTTCAGCTCTTTCATGGACCTGTCTTGCTTCCTTTTTCCGTCTGTAAGTGTACAAAAACATTTAACACTTAAAAAAATACCTATCACAGTGATTTATCAGTCTTCAATTGAAATCAGACAACTTACTTTCTTTCAAAATGATCCAATCGGTAGCCATGTCTCTTCCGAGATAACTCGATGTGTTCATTTTGAGGCTAAATACAATCAGACAGTAAATTATTTGGCATTTTTGTTAAGACTATTGCCAGATGATTTCACTATAAATCACGATGGTCAGGAAGCCGACCAGAAAAACTCCCAAATATCTTTCACAATACAAAGAAAAGCTAGCTGGCTTACCATCTCTGATATATCCCAGAATAAAGGATTAATATGCAATAAAATTTATTCAAGATCACAACCAGATTCTTTCCAAAATCTCACATTTCTCTCGCTTTATTTATCAAACAAAAAATTTACAACAAACATGTGTAAAGTTATGAATGAAATCTGGAAGAAGAATAATCTCTAAGTGCCCTGCACTGTCCCCTACGCATAACCCTATATGACCTTTATAAATTATCCCTTTAAAACCCTAGAGTTACACATTCTTCCTTTATACTGAAGATGAACCCCAAATATTCATACAAAGTCCTGAAACAATAATAGGTATCCCCATATATCCTTGTTGATCGCAAACCAAAATTAACCCTTGCTATCCAGAATTGTTTTTATTACCCATGCCTCGATCGACCTTTTAAATGAATATATAATAATTTATTCACATTATTAGTACTAGGGAAATTTACAATAATCAATCATGCATTAAAATTAAGTATAATAGTAAAATTAAGTATAATCGACCTTTTATGCGGCTTATAGTCGGCAGTCGGTCAAAGTACGAGAAGCGGGCGGCGATTGCGAAATATTCATTTTTGTTGACGTGAATAAATTAAATTTGAGCCAAGATGGCGATTTCCAGCAGAGCTATCAAACAAGGGGCTCGATATTTCGGCGCTGTTTGCGGAGAATTCTCGACAGGAAAAGGACTACAGAGCCTTTTTTTAAAACAAGTAAGTGTTAGCCTATTGCGATTTCTATTAATCGAAAAATTTTGTTCAAGTTTTATGGGTTATAGACAATTTTTCCTCAGGGAGGAGTGACAGCGCAAAACAACTGCTTTCTCTAAAACTCGAATATACGATAGTAACGATACTAAAGTGATAGAGTAAAAAAGGCACTTTAAAAGTTGTAAAAAACTCTTCGTTTTTAGAGTTCTCTTTTACCAACAAAATTGAAAAAGTCATGTTTAAGCACAGAGGTATGGTTGAAAGCTAAGAAGTTATAAAGCTTGTACAGCATGTATTGTTTTATAAAAAACAGACAGTAAACTTTATAACAAACACATTTTAAGGTAAGAAAAGTTACCCTCATGCCAGGCCATGGCATTGGTCCTGAGATCTCTGATGCTGTGAAAGAAGTGTTTAGCGCAGCAGAGGTAAGCATTTTGAAGGATTTCCAAGTCGTGTGCCCCAGTGCCCTATGTTAACCGAAGCGGAAAGCCATATTGCAGAGTATGGCAGTTTTTTGTGAGATCTTGGGTAAAAATTTCATGTTTAGTAAATCGTAATTTCATTCATTCAAGGTTCCTATAACTTGGGAAGAAGTCAATGTGGAACCAATTGTCCTACCAAGTGGAAGAACCACGTCCCGCCGCAAGTAATCAAATCTATCAATCAGAATAAAGTGGGTCTGAAAGGTACACTTTATGTACATTCATGGAGCCAGCCTGATGCTTTAGTCGTGCTATGCTAAACGATAAGGAATATTAATTTGGTGTTTAATATGAAAACAACACATTTCTGTGTTATAGGACCTATGGAAACAAAGATTGGAAAAGGCCATGTATCATTGAATCTTACTTTAAGAAAGTAGGATTAAATATTATAATTATTTAAGAAATGTTAAACAAATAAAAAACCTGTTGTTTGCTATCCATCGTAGGACATTCAACTTGTTTGCCAATGTCCGTCCATGCTGCTCAATTGAAGGTTACCCTACAGCATACAAGGATGTCAATCTTGTCACAATTCGTGAAAACACAGAGGGTGAATACAGTGGTATTGAGCATTTGGTAGGCACAAAAAGTCTCCAGGGTATTTCATCCTTTGCTGGATTGCATTGCTTGCTATCAATTTCCTGCTATGTCGATTTCAGGTTGTTGAGGGTGTTGTTCAGAGCATCAAACTGATTACAAAGAATGCATCATCCAGAGTTGCTGAGTATGCGTTCAGTTATGCCAGAGCAAACAACAGACATACTGTTACAGCTGTACACAAGGCAAATATCATGTAAGAAGATCACTTCTAGTTCATCCAATGCTCTTCAGAATTATCCCGTCAAATGTTGTTTCTGTGCTTGACATTTACTCTGTCATAAATTCATGCCTTTTCAATGGATACAGGCGGAAATCCGATGGGCTGTTCCTGCAGTGTTGTCGTGAAGTTGCAGAGAAGTACAAAGACATTAGATACCAGGAAACGTATCTTGATACAACCTGCCTAAATGTAAGCACCCATTCTCCCAGCACCATATCTCTGCCTCTTCATCAGAGTTTTCAAAAACATTCTTGTTTCATCTACCACATAGATTGTAAAAGATCCAAGCCAGTACGATGTGTTGGTCATGCCCAACCTGTATGGTGACATACTGAGGTAGTTGATGACACCATGTTGGACGATTTTAACCAACAACTGTAGCTACCAAACACTGTATAAACATTTATGCCACACAACCCGGCCATGCACTTTTGCTTTCACATAAACCGAGATGACTTCCAACCATTCAAATTTCTTTGCAGCGACCTTTGCGCTGGATTAGTTGGAGGTCTTGGTGTCACACCAAGCGGAAATATTGGTGAAGATGGAGTAGCCATATTTGAATCGGTAATTTATAAACTTTGGGTAAAACAGGCAAAGCTGTTATAGCCTAAAATTATGTAGGTTTCCCTGTCTCCTGGGAATGTAATCCCATACAGAATAGTGGAAAACTGGTAGACCTGCCTGATATGAGTTTGTTCTCCATGAAAATACTGAAACCATATGTTTACTGTTTCAAAATATCTGACCTCACCTCTTGCCAGGTTCACGGAACAGCCCCAGATATCGCTGGAGAAGACAAGGCAAATCCCACAGCATTGTTGCTAAGCGCCGTGATGATGTTACGTCATATGAATCTTGGTGAACACGCGAGCCAAATTGAACAAGCAACGCTTTCCACCATCAAAGAAGGAAAGGTAGGATAAGGGTAAACTTTGAAACAGGAACTCTACGTTCACGAGTCTCTTCCGTCCGACGTTCCCATTCTCTTTGAAGCTCTGTTTTAAATGAAAAATGAAATGATCCCAGTTAACTTAACAGCTGTGATTCAACCAAACGTGAAATCAATGACAATGAAATGAACTCAAACTGTTTAAACTTAAAATCATCACTTGCTTAATCTAGGTTCGCACGCGCGATCTTGGTGGGGATGCAAGCTGCTCAGCTTTTACAGAAGAAATCTGCAACAACTTAAAACGATCTTAGCTGTGACAGCATAAATAACAGTTGTCTTTTACACTGGACGGAATGTACCCAGGGACGTAAAATGATCTCGCAGGATTCTACATGAATTGTTGACACATAAAGCCATTGCGTTTAAAATCATTTCATGTGATCAATGGCTGTATTTATTAGTGAGAAGAAAAAAAACTTCGGCTGTAAATATTTTTCGCTGAAATAAATGAATTTGCCAAGATGATTGTGTGTGGTGATATATATTGAGTGTTGATCTATAAGGATCCTGTCGAAATGAACAATGGGTCACTTTAGTTTGTGATGTAATATTTCGACAGAAAGATATACCACTCCAGTTTATGGTATACGCAACTGGGCTATTCAAGGTGAAAGAAATAGAAATGAAGGAACTGGGAATGGACAGAGGGACGTAAAAACACGGAATCTATAAAACCTGTAACGAGAAAATACGGAATTTCTGAATAGGCTGTAACAGCTGTTAAAACATGTCATGAAAGAACTCAAACATGAATGCAATGTTTGTTTCAGGATATTAAAAGGAGCACATATCACAGTTGAGCTATTCAAATAAGACACAACAAAGATTCCTCTGGCAATTATTCGGTATTTGCTGAAGGTACCAGATGGAAAATAATTGAAGTGAGATATCAGTCACATGACTAATGCATTTAAATATCAATCTTCCAAATTATCATATCAAAAATTGCAGGTCTGGGCTATATCAATCAACACACAATGTTGAAGCTTAGGGAAGCCGCATTTTTAAACTGGAAATCCAATAAGAGGTGTAAGGGCATAGCAATTTCATTTATATTGAATTGGTTTTGCTTGAGATGGTAAGAGACTAAAAGTAGCCTGCCCTGTTCTGTATTTCATTATCAGCGATATCTAGAGACGATCAGATAAACAAGCTTGAAAGAGCAGCTGGGTATTTGCAATCAAGAGAGGAACTTAAAACGACCGGGAAGAATAGATTGCTCTCAAGCGGGCGTTGAAAGACATTTTCCGCAGGACGCTTGCTTGAAACCTTAGCAGTAGTCACGTACGATGCTTTTTTTATCCACTGTAGTACTTAAGTTAACTCACAGTATAGAAGATAGTAATCCGCCCAAGAAGAAGAAACGAATCCTTTAAACTAGATCTTAAGCAGATCGTAAGTCGCCCTAAGTCGCAACCTGTGGGGAGACTTCGACAGCCCACCCTTCTATTGATAAATTAATTATTTTGACAGGCTTGCAAACAATGTTGGCACTTTTCGAGGCTGCCTGGAGGCTAATCTAACCGTGCCTGCATTATTAGTAAACCTTCATACATCAGTGATACATGTACGCACACGAGGGAGAAAAACACGCAGTTGTTTTTATTGAAAACTACAGTGGTCAAAACAAGCGCAAATTCGACTACCACGCGCTAGAACACCGCATAATTTGCGTACCGGAAGTTCGTAAATTGTGACGTCACAGCTAAAGGAAGTCGTTGCTGAAGGCTAGCAACTTGGGTTATGTTTTGAAATAATTTCAAGTATGGCTATGTCAAGTATATATCTTATAGCATAAGGATCGAGATATCTCTTATTAGAGTGCTCCACGGCGATCTAAATGCTTTTGGACATACAGTATATCAATACATACACTCAACAACATCGGCGGTGAATCCGTCATGATTTTTCTAACGATCGTACGTAAGGTTTTTCTTGTGTGTATTTTTATACAACTACGGGTAGGTAGCGACGCATCATCATCACAATACTACACGAATACATGGGCAGTTCACATCCCAAACGTAGACCAGGAAAAAGTGAATGAAATTGCTCGTCGACATGGCATGATAAACCTTGGTCAGGTAAGGTTAAAACCGTAGAAATATCTGTGTATGACGATGTATACAAGAAGCAAGCTTTGAGGAATTACAGAGGCCCTTTATAGAACGTGTTACAAAATTATCTTACAAGGTTGGAACTCTTGACGGGTACTACCATTTCAAACATCGTGCGCATTCTAAGCGTATGCGACGGGAATCGCTGGAGCATACTTCACGATTGTCTAGGGAGATTAAGGTTTGTCACGATTCTTTTGTATTATTTGGCGATTTAATACTACAGCATCGTAGACATCGACAATATCGTGCCGAAGACCAATGTTTTTGACACACGCTGACATGCAAATTAAAACCATCTTATTTCGCTTTTCGGCAGGTAAAATGGGTCGAACAGCAAGCTGTTAAAAGAAGAGTGAAAAGAGATGCCTTATTATTTCCCGATCCCTTGTGGAACAAACAGTGGTATTTGGTAAGAAATTCAATATAATTATCTCATACTCTTTTCAAAATTAGAATTCCTCGAAGTCCTAGAATAATGGAATCATTCTAAAATGTAGCAATATTCCGTACAGAGATATAATATTTGTCAACAAACTGCCCTTGGGGGTAGAGAAAGCACGGAAATACCAAAAATATAGCTTTCCTCGTTTTAAAAAGCCGGCTTGCTATTTTTCTGGTGAACATGCCCTAAGGAAATACTTAGAAAAAAAGCCTTTAAATGTATATTGGCTTGTCCAATAAAAATTTCAAGTGTTTGTATTGCACAATAGCATTTATGTGATGCATGATTAGACTTTTACTTCCTAGCTTGGATTGTATCATAGCTGTTCAAATATTTGATTGCATAAATAGGTTGGATAGATATTGCTTGGCACTAAGTCCATCTAAAACCTCAATATTCTAGCCCTGTTTGTACTTTATCATAAGATTAGAGTCCTGTCAGTAATGATTATAACACATCCTTCAAAGTTAATAAATGAATCTCTTTTTTTATGATATTTTCAAGCATAATAATGCCAAGCTGTTCAAGAATTATGACCACAATGTTATAGCTGTGTGGAAACAGTTGAACTACACAGGCCGAGGTGTTTCTGTGTCAATCTTAGATGACGGTCAGTCGAAATTCACACACATCATAACTAACTTTGCATTACAACTTATGTAACTACTATAATTTAATATGTATTTATCATGTAGGAATCGAAAAAGACCATCCTGACCTGAAAGCAAATTATGTATGTAGGATAATACTGGAAAATATTCAATTTTAGGTTCCAATAGGGCAGAATAGCATTCAACATGACAAGAATACTGCCTATATATCATAGAATTTCAATTTTTTTCACACCATCACAAGTGTACCTGCACAAATAAACACCAAGTTATCTTTCAATTGAAATATTTCATAGGATCCTGATGCGAGTTTTGACTACAACAGCAACGATCCTGACCCTCAACCAAGACCAACATATAATGACGAAAACAGGTGTGTTACTCAACACCGGAAACTATTACAACCTACTGTAATACTGTTCCTCTCACAGCCTTTCTTCCCTTTCATTCTATCAGGCATGGAACAAGATGTGCTGGTGAGGTCGCTGCGGTTGCTGGAAACACTCATTGTGGTGTTGGCGTAGCTTATGGTGCCAAAGTTGGAGGTCAACAAATATTTCATCAGCTTGACTCTTAGCAAATAACCTTTCCTTAGTTGTTGATAAACTATCACAACTCCAGTCTGTTGGTGGCATCAATTAAAGTAACCCATTGTTCATGTACATGCATGTGTACCTATTTTTATGCCCACCGTCTGTTGTTGCATTCAAGCGGGTATCTTTCAGCTTACACCCTGTACTCTTTCTTGACATTCCATATGCATATCTTTGGATTAAAGTTAAACACATGATATGGTTTTTATTACGGATTAAGTAATATTTCATCGCTGAAACATTCCTACAAGCTTATGTATTCATGTGCTTCAAAGCGCGCATATTCCCTTGTCAACACGCAGTCAATGTTTCCTGCGAAAAGCAATGATTTCTGAAGAGATTCCTCTTCTATTTTTCCAGGTATTCGTATGTTAGACGGTGAGGTGACGGATGTTGTAGAAGCGCACTCCTTAAGTTACAAACCAGAGCATATAGATATTTACAGTTCAAGCTGGGGGCCAGACGATGATGGAAAGACGGTGGACGGACCAGGTCCACTTGCAAAAGTCGCATTCTCCGAAGGAATCGCTAAGGTGCGAAACATGACAAATTTGCTCATACGGATTGAAAAACCCACCATATCTCAGATATCTTTCTCAGATAGTTCACACACAAACCACGACAGTTTATTGTAGAATACTACCTACACTACACCACCATGTTTGAGATATCTTTCTTAGCTGGACCACCAGATTGTTCAGATACCATCCAAACAACCAGATGTTCACCATCATTATATCCGTGTTTCCGTTTAGGGTCGTGGTGGCCTTGGGAATATCTTCGTGTGGGCATCAGGGAACGGTGGTCGTGATCAAGATAACTGCAACTGCGATGGTTACACGAACAGTATTTATACCCTGTCTATTAGTTCTGCAACTGAACATGGTACCAGCCCTTGGTATTCAGAATTCTGCGCTTCCACACTGGCATCAACTTTTAGTAGCGGTTCCTGGGGAATGAGGAAAATAGTAAGTGATTTCTTCCCGCCAAAGTTGGGATGAACGTGACTCTGGCATAAGAATTGATGATTATCTCGTGGAAACTCGGGCTTTTTCTGTTTGAGAGTTCATGCATGAGTATCCCATTGATCCTCTGGCTTGTCAACTTTCTCCCGCTTAAGCCGGGCATGTCTCGCCTTCTAAACTCTTTTTCCGGCTTCAGGTAACAACAGATCTCCATCATAGATGTACCTCAGACCACACAGGAACTTCGGCCTCTGCTCCACTTGCAGCTGGAATACTGGCACTAGCATTGGAAGCGAAGTAAGCCATAATCTC